GACGAAGGACAAAATCATATGATCTCAACAGGTGCAGAAGAGGCATTTGATAAAATCCAGCATTTCTTTGTGGTGAAAGAAAGCTCCAAATTAGGTATAGAAGAAATCTCAACATAATAAAGGCCACATAGAACAAGCCAACAGGTAACATCATGCTGAATGGGGAAAAGCTGAAGGCTTTTTCCTCCAAGATCTGAAACAAGACAAGGTGGCCCATTTTCACCACTTTTATTCATCATGTGGTGGAGGTCTTAGCCAGAGCAATTAGGCAAGAGAAATAAATAACGGGCACCCAAATTGGAAAGGAGGAAGTCAAACTGTTACTGTGCACATGACACGATCTTATACGTGGGGAACCCCAAGGAATCTACCAAAAAGCTGTGAGAGCTAATACATCTGGCAAAGTTGCAGAATACAGCATCCATTTACAGAAACCAGTAGTGTCGTTATACGCCACTAAATGAATCATCTGAAATAGAAATCAAGAAAGCAACACCATCTCCAATAGTTGCTAAAACAAAACAAAAAACAAAAAAAAAAGAAAAACAATTTGGGTTAAATTCAACCAAAGAGATATCCCCTCACTCCAGGGACATTGGCTTTTGTTATTAAAAAGACAAACAGCAACAAGTGTAGGTGAGGGTGTGGAGAAAAGGGAGCCATTGCACTCTGTTGATGAGAATGCTAGTCCTATCTCGAAACAACATGGAAATACCCTCAAAAACCAAAAATAGAACCACCCTATGATGTCTATGATGCGGCAATCCCACTCCTGGGTAGGCAACCACGGGAAATGAAAACAGACCTTGGAACTCTCATGTTTATTGCGGCACTGTTCACAATAGCCAGGAAATGTGAACACACTCAGTGCCCCTTTGCTGGTGAATGGATGAAGAAAATGTGGTCCATACACAAGGGGATGTTATTCAACCATGACAAATGATGAAATGTTGTGGTCTACCATGACCTGGGGGGTGCAATGGGGTGTCATTATATGAAATGGAATGAGCCAAGCACAGAAAGACAAATATCACATGAAATCACTCATGTGTGGAGTCTACACCATGGGTGATCCCATAGAAGCTAAAAGTAGAATGGTGGTTACCAGCACCTGGGGAGGAGAGTGAGGGGGGAGGAATGGGGAAAGGTTAATTGCTAGATGGGACTAAGAGGTTCTGGAATTCTGCCGCATAGGAGGGTGACCACACATAATATTAAGGTACTGTACTGTGTATCTCTCCACTTAAGAAAGCAGGAAGGTAGGGTGTTGGACGTTTCACTCTGACAAAGTGCTAAATGTTTGGAAGGATAAATCTACTTACCCTGATTGGATATTCTATAACACATACCTGTAACAAAACATCACACAGTACCATATACATATGACCAATTTTTATGTCAATTTTTAAAAAAGATTTATTTTGTTTGAAAGGCAGGGAGGGAGGGAGGGAGAGAGAGAGAGAGAGAGGTCTTGCATCCGTTGGTTCACACCCCAGATGGCTGCAACAGCTGGAACTGCATAGATCTGAAGCCAGGAACCAGGAGCTTCATCCAGGTCTCCCATGTGGGTGCAGGAATTGGGCCATCCTCCACTGCTTTTCCAGGCAATATCAGAGAGCTGAATTGGAAGTAGAACAGCCAGGACTTGAACCAGCGTTCATATGGGATGCCGGCAATGCAAGGCAGTGGCTTTACCCGCTATGCCACAGCGCCCGCCCCTATGTCAATTTTTAAACAAGAATCCCTCCCTAACCTCATAGATTTACAAACGATGTTTTCAAAGACAACATGTATGTCTCTTAAATAGCCTCTTTGGCTAGAAAGAGAATCCAATGGTTCTAGACCTTTGCCCCACAGGTACATAGCAAAGAGCTTTGTGAAGGGAGAGGCTGACCCATTGGTGGACCCCAAGGAGTTCCTGAAATTCACAAACCCTCCTTCTATCCTCTGAACCATAGGAAAGCTCCCTCCACGGGGACCTGAAGGTGTCCCTCAAACAGGACGCCTGCGGCTCCCCAAGTGATCTGATCTTCCTGGAGGGTTGGAGCAGACACCATTGCATTGCTGTGGGTGCTGCAGTTGTTGAAGTGTCTGGCAAATGTCACCAGATGACAGCTAGGGCAGAAAAATGTTCTGTTCTGTTTGTCGCGACCCCCAGCACCTCATGGACATGGCCCCTGTGCTAGTAGATGCTCTTGACGTGCTAATCTGAGCTCTCGGATGCCCATCGTTGCAACCCTCTTCAGTTTCTAAACTGGAAATGATAACTCACAGGTTCAACGTGAGTTCAGCAGGCGAACACATACAGAGCGTGTCTCTCATGCTCAGGCTGAGTGCTAAGCGAACCTGAGCTTGACAGAGAGGCTGGCCTGCATGCACGCACGCACGCGTGCACACTCACACGTACGTGCACACTCAGAAAGTTCAAGAAGGGAAAGTGACCGTGAGCGATGACGAGGGCTTGCAATTCCAGGCAGTGGGACTGGAAGAGGGGGTGCAAAGCACAATCACAAGGTATAATCAGACCCTGTGCAAAATCATAGCAAGCAGGAGTTACTCCAGCTTTCCTGCAGGGAAGCAACAGAGGACAAAGGACAGCAAAGTGTCTCCAGGTGGGATCTGGGGCCAGGTAAGGCGCTGGGTGTTGGACCAGGAAATGGGGCCACCTCTCTTGTTAAGCAAACGATGACGGAGTTTCACAACTGCTCTCTGCTCTTGCAAGTGGTCTCCAATCCAGGGGTTACCGTGGATTGGAAGGGCTGGTCTGGGACTATCAGTGTGCCGGTTGGTCCCTGGCTGAGGACAAGCGCATAGAAACCTTGGCTGTAGTAACAGCTCTTCCAACACGCAGGAATGCTAGGGGTCAAGGTGCAGCCCCCAGGGTGTAGCCGACAGCGCCATGCGTATCCGGGGAAAGAATGTGGGCCTGAACATTGTTTTCTAGCAGAGCTGAGCATAGCTTTAGAAGACAGAGTGCTCAGAGAGTTGTGGGAGGTCATGGCTTCTTCCCTCTTCGGTTGAGGAAGAACATATCCAAATGAGAATGGGTGGGTGCAGGTTGCAATGCGTCTTTGGATTCTCAGCTCAGGTGACAATGTGTCTTTGGATTCTCAGCTCTCGGTGTGGGGAGGGATTGGGAGGTGCAATGCCCGGTTCCCAGTCCTCCTGCTTTTCCACACTCGGCTTCCATCCATCTAGCCTCAGAACCCAATGGGAAAAATTCCTGTCTTCCTGACTCCAGCAATTCGTTCTGCTGCTTTGGCCGGCTATGCGAATGCCCCAAGGGGCTCTCCTTCCAGTCAGCCAGGTCCCTTCCCCGCTCAGCAACAGCTGAGTCAAGATTCAAACTCGTGTCTGCGGACTCAGTGTCTCGGCTCCTTCCTCTGGGCCCTGTCATCACCTTCCTGGAGCGAGGAACCAGAGTATGTTGGAGCCACACCCTCCCGATCTCCTACTCAGGCCATCCATCCACCTCCTCTGTCCCCTGGAGGCCAAAACCAAGCCCTGCTCTGAATCCATCAGTTGAATCCGAGCCAGCGGGTTTCTGACTCAGCTGCATTATCTGTTTGGGACTCAGCACTTTGGTGTCTGATGATACTACCCCCAGGGACCCCTCCTCTCCTCACTGGGCACACTGGTGGGTGGACAGAACCCACCTCACTCTTTATTTTCTCATCCTCCCAGGGTTTCTCTCCACCATCACCCTGAAACACAAGAGATCTTCCAAAAACTTGCGGAGAATGTGAGATCTCTCTCTCTCTCTCTCTCTCTCTCTATATATATATATATATATATTTATCTGTCTCTCTATATAGCTATCTCTATCTCCATCTTTATCTCCATCTTCATCTCTATATCTCTCTCCATCTCTCTCTCTCTATCTCCATCTCTCTCTATCTCTTTATCTTTCTCTGTCTCTATCTCTCTATCTCTATATATCTCTATCTCTATCCTAAACTATGCATACATTTCACATTTTGGACACCAAAATATATTTAAATTTGAGTTTCATTTTTCCATGAACTTTTTGAAGACCCCTTATAAAGTTTTTTTTTCTTGGACTGGGTTACGGCCTTTGTTTTCGGTTTGTGTGTTTGTTTTTGATGTTCCTCTTCAAAGGATAAATAGGCAGGCAGGACCCTGCGGCTGTTTCCTGCTATCCACAGCCCGGGAGATACTCTTGTGCTCTTGTTTTAGAAGCAGGGGCGCCCAGGGTCTTTGTGTGTTCTGATGGGAGCCCGTCAACATCAAAGCCTGGGACCTTGGGGAGCCAACGGCCCAAGTACAGCGCTCCCAGCTGGGACAGAGCCCGCCCCAGACTTTTCCTTGCAGTCATCACCAAGCTATTTAAAATGACCTCGCTAGACCCTGGGGTGCAGGTTTGGTTTGCTTCTGCGAGGTCAGAGCCCTGCCTTGTGCTTACAGAAAGAGCGGTACAAGAAGCGCCTGGGCAGGGCGCCTTGTAGCACCCACAGCGCTCCGAATGCACCAAGCCTTCCCTGCCATGGGGAAACTGCTCTGCAGTCCCCTTGTGCCCACCACTCGCTGGGGGGACACCAGGGTGGTGTCCTGGCTCCGGCTCCTTCCTGGGTGCTTGGTGTGGTCTCTCTGAATCTCAGCAAGGGGCTGCTTCTGCAGAGTTATCCTGACTATGACAAGGTTGTGGAGGCTGGCTCTGTGGCGTAGCGGGTGAAAGCCGCTGCCTGCAGTGCCGGCATCCCATGTGGATGCCGGTTCGAGTCCTGGCTGCTCCACTTCCGGTCCAGCTCTCTGCTATGGCCTGGGAAAGCAGTGGAGGATGGGCTTGGACCCCTGCACCCATGTCGAGACCAACAAGAAGCTCCTGGCTTTGGATCGGTGCAGCTCTGGCTGTTGTGACCAATTGGGGAGTGAACCAGCGGATGGAAGACTCTCCTCTTTCTCTCTCTCTCTGCCTCTCCTTCTCTCTCTGTGTATAACTCTGACTTTCAAATAAATAAAATAATTTAAAAAAAAGAAAAGACAAGGTCGTGTTTTTGCAGGGAACGTGTGCTATGCTCTGATGTGGTCACACACTCAGGCATTGTCGCCCAGGGTGAGGTCCTCCCACAGTGCTGGGGGGAGCCTCTGGCTGCCTGTAAGGCCTAAGCAGGGCACTGGGAGATGTGGTGATGACAACAGAGCATGCAGGCACAGGCACCCTGTGTGGCGGAGGATGCAGGAGACAAGGCGCAGGTGGGAGACGTGCCGTTGGGCAGGAGAGCCGGGCGGCACCCACAGGGCACAGAGGGTTCACGGGCTGCGTCTGCCTGCTCCCTGCTGGGGGCCCCAGGAGGAAAACACTGCAGAGGCGGGGTCAGCTGGAGACCCAACCCCGCGCGTTCCTGTTTGGTGTGGATGCTGCGTTTGCAGCCAGCGGGATCAGCACGGGGGTGGAGCAGAGGCTGGTGCTTCGCCGTCCTGGGCCGGGTACAGGCGGAGCGCCAGGCCTCATCTCGGGGTGCTGGTGGTTGGCTCAGTCAGCAGCCAGGGCCTGCGGGGTGTGAGAGCTCAGAGCCACAGATGGCTCCTGGATGCACGCCACACGTGCCTGGCGGCCAGCGCTGCGCTGAGAGCTGCTCCCGACAGAAGTGTTCAAGGGAAGGCTGACATGCGATCAGTGTAGTGGTGTTTATGTGAGTGGCAGATGCACAGCCCAGGGCGCCAGTGTCGTCCTGACTGCCCCGCCCCACCGCGGTCGGGGTACCCAGAGAGGAGAAAGCGGCTGCGAACCCAGACAGGCGCGTGCCGACTATATGCATGCGCTGTCAGTTGGCGGCCTCTGATTGGCCGACACTCAGTTCTCTGTTGCCAGGAGACACTCTAGAGTTAGTCTGCACACTAAGTTAGGTTGCAGTTCGCGGTAGCCAAAGGCCAAGACTGGTGGAACTGTACCCTCCAAGTATGGGAACAGACGTAGGACAAACTTATCAACGTCGCAATCAGGCACTGACGTCAGAGAGGGGACGAGGGGGAGCATTTGGAAGGAGAAAGGGGGTTTCCCTTCCAGGCCCCTCTGCGCTTCATGCAGCAGCTGTTTCTTCTGTGTCGGTCCACTCCAGCCTATGAGAGAGCAAGCAAGGGCCACCTTCCCAGGGACTTCTGACGGGTTCCCTCCTTGGAACCCCGTGCCCTCCACCAGGCTTCCCTGACCCGGGCTGCGGCAGAGCCGGGAGGGCTGGCAGGGAGGAGAGCTGGAATTTCTGCCAGCCTCGCGTTGTAACTTCTCTCTCGGCCCTCAGCCTGGGCCGGCACCGTGAACTCCCCAGAGAGCTTCACGCGTGCCAAGACTCCACCCTGTCTTGCTTACTCAGTGAAGGCACCACCCCTACCTGACAGAAGGGGGCGGGGCCTTCATTTGCACTTGACCGCACGTGGGGGTCTTTTCAGATCCCCTCGCATCTCTCCACAGGCAGCTCCGAGGCCCACTCGGGACGGTTATCTCTCCACGCTCACGTGCGAATGCGTGGTCATCGTCTCTCTCTTAAATACAGCCTGCTCTCACTTAGGCACTACACTTGATGCCTCTGCTTGGAATTCTTATCTCTGTGCAGGTAGGAACCTGGATACAGGCTAAGGTGCCCAGGCCTCTAACACCTGTGACGTCGGGGCCCTGTTTGTTCTCTCATGTACTCGTTCTCTTATTCACACGCTGAAAACCTCCCGCTCGCTGCTGTCCAGGGAAGAACATGGAGCTCTGGCGCCAGCGGGGGTCTTGCTCACTCTCTGCTAGACAGTCAGCAAGGGGGCCCCCGGAAGGCCTCGCTGTCTGGCCCTCTACACGGGCACTTCCTCTGCTGTGTCTGGCTGCAGTCTGGTTGTCCAGGGCCTGGGTGGGTGCGGGAGGGAGCGATGAGGATACAGGGCAGGAATGGGGCTAACAGAGTCAGACCTGCTTCTTCAGCAACGACATGGGTTCTGCTCCAGCGTGTGCAAAACACAGCTCTAAGTGCCCTTATTTTTCCCAGTGGACCTGTTCTCTGAACCAGTTATTGGTTTTGCTGACCAATCTCATGGGTTGTATTAATCTGTGTGCAACTGGTTACCATCCAGGAAGATTCCCCTGACCAAATCTTACCACTGTTTCTGAAGTCAAGGTCTACTCTCTGGGCAAAACTCTGTGCCCCTGAGCCTTGGAGCTGGTGAGGGTGAGGGCTTGGGCAGCTTCCCCTGGAGCCTGGCTCTGCCTCCTAGATTGTGACCTAGGGCAGATTGCTTGGGCTTTGTGTGACTAAGTTTCCCTCCTCTTAAATATTTTTATTATTATTGTTGTTGTTATTATTATAATTTTGGTGGTAAGGACTAGTCACAGGTGAAGAATCCAAATAGCTAGAAAGGCTGTGGTGCCAAATACAAACTGTGACCGGTGAGAGACATATTCAGTGACTGCAGTTGCTGGGGTCAGAGCAGGTGTGCAGTGAGAAATCCAGAGGAAAGAGGAAGGTGGTTAGGAAAGGGAGGATCCTGCCATCAGAGAGGCCAGATCCCAGTGAGCCATAAGGAATCGCCAGGGTCACGGCACACAAGCTGGGAGCCACCCCAGTCCTCAGGGCAAAGCCCCCTGACCCCTGGGCTTCTCTGCAGGCACTGTCCAGACAGCAAGTGGCCCCAGGGCTTGGGAAGGCCGACTTAGGGGGAAGGGGAGGCTTGTGTCTGATGCCACTCATGGTAGGGGCCTTTGAGCCCTGCTTGCTGCTCTGGAAGGAGGAGAGAAGTGGAGACGGTGGATCTGACCCTGTGGCTCTCCAAGTCGCTGTGAGTAGGTGGTGTTTATTGATTCCTGCGATGATAGAGTTGTGAATGGGATGGCTCCATCAATTTGATTCTGGAACAACTCATGTGTTCCCCACACAGTACATGCTAAGGCTGTAAAGTAAAATGGGATCCAACCCTGTGTTCAGGATACCTGCAGTCAAGTAGGGGAGACTGAGACCGTGGGGCCGATGCTGTGGCATAGTAGGTTAAGCCTCCACCCGCGATGCCAGCATCCCATATGGGCAATGGTTTGAGGCCCGGCTGCTCCTCTTCTGATCCAGCTCTCTGCTGTGGCCTGGGAAAGCAGTGGAAGATGGCCCAAGTGCTTGCGCCCCTGCACCTGCATGGGAGACCTGGAAGAAGTTCCTGGCTGCTGGCTTTGGACTGGCTCAGCAGCTGTTGTGACCATCTTGTGTTACCTTAATTAGTGGCAACATGGGAGCAGGTACTTGATATTGAGG